ATGTTGTCATGTAACATTAATTGCTGAAGACAGTATTAGGCTAATAGATATCACATAAAAACAAAATCACAGTGTATCTTTAAAGCTCGTTAAGTTTAAGGTCGACAGAGTTGAGTTAGCCCATAACTTTATTCAAGTCTCTCTGATGGTGATACACAAGAATGTTGTCTGCAATATGGAGGACAAGTGACTGTTGACTTAAATAGTTTACCCTGCTGTGAACTTTATGTACTTATAACTAAAAACATGTGGTAAATTGGAAAATGTTCAGAGAGAAAATTATTTTAGGGGTAGTGTTTTGATAAACATTAATAATTATGAAACAAAAATTCTAAAGGATACTGTAAATCACGTTTTATTTGCGAGAACTTAATTTTCGCATAATTACGTGAGACAATGAGCTCACAAAAATTTCATTCTCATGTTTAAAAGTATTCCGTACAATTATACAGAGGAAAAACAACAATTCATGAAAATTATGTCTCGCTAATAAAGAGAAAATGACTATATCACGAAAATAAGGTGTCGCGAAAATTTAGTGATCTACAGTATATCTTAGAAAATGCCTTACCACAATAATAACAGAAGCTGGAATCACAAAGGCATAAATAACTCCTTCTTCAATGGTCAGCCAGCAGCTGTAACAGAAAAGAAACCTCTTGGTAAAAATCCCTTATAAGGAGAGGCATCTGGAAAAAATGGTGCTGTTCACATGTAAACTTACAATTTGTCATTGCCATATCCCTGTAGTTCTGTGGCCCCCATAGATATGCCAACAATGACCAATGGTATCCCTAAAACATTAAAAAATAACAATGGATTAGCACAACAAATTTAACTTACAACCTATCTTAATCTCCCCCAACTTCAAAGTGGTGTGCTTAAATCACACAAGACAACTGAAATCACTCCAAGATGGAAGTGTTAGACAAATTTGTTCATAAAAAGCAAAAGTTGTATGGATTAAACTTACTGGACAGCTTGCAAGATGATGGTTCTTCACCCAAGCTAGAGGCAGGAAAAGACCCTGACCTTGGAGTTGCTCCAAAAGACCAGAATAAGACCAGCACCAGCTATGGTGATTCCTACTGCCAGCATTAGGAAGAATGCCACCAAGAAAAAGTACTGCAGAAGGACAGCTATAGCTGTACACAGATATGGAAATACATCAGAAGTATATAACTGTAAAGAACAAAGTACGTAGTTACAAAAATTCAAATGTAAAAAGAAATTTCAGGTTACAACAATTATGTCAAAGGGGAAATAAATGAATGGCTGAAAATCCATGGAGAAGTTTGTGAGAGTTTCTAACCTTGTTCTGAGTCTGTTCCACACCAAGGATAAATATGGTCAGAGCTATTGTTAGGGCCAAGCAGAAGGATGAGCAAATCTTGCTCTTTTTCTGCTGATTTTACATACCTGTCAAATAAAGACAGAACATAAAACAACTTGTACTCTCTTTGGATTGAGATGTATAACAAGAGCATTAAGGGTCAACAACAATTCCGAAAGCATAGCAAATTATCTCCCTTCAACTGCAGGAGGTGAGCTGAAATTGATTTCCGATAGGCCTATAATGCTACACTTTTAATGGTTCAGAAATCTGTTGAAAAAATTTAGCACTTAGTTTTAGTCTAATGAATAATAAAAGTTTAAATTGCATGCAAAATTATCACAATGGCACATTTTTTTTACAGGAAAATAAATTCCCAAATATGAAGTTCAGATTGCTTTAAATGAAACACCCATAAAAGGGAGAACTCTGGATAATAACAAACCTCCAAAACATGAGATGACAAACTGCTTTAGCCAGGAGTCCAGCAATGGAGATTGTACAACCAATGATGGAGATTAGACCAAGTATGTCATTCTCAACTCAGACTGAAAGAGATCAGAAAAATAGGGCTCATATACTGAAAGAGATCAGAAAAATGGGGCTCATATACTGAAAGAGATCAGAAAAATAGGGCTCATATACTGAAAGAGATCAGAAAAATGGGGCTCATATACTGAAAGAGATCAGAAAAAATAGGTCTCCTATACTGAGATCATAAAATATATGTATTTTATACTGAGATTGTGAACATATGTCTTTCATACTGAAAGATCTTGTAAATATATGTCTCCTATTTTGAAAGTGATCATAAAATATATGACTCCAATACTGAAAGAGATCATAAAATATATGTCTCCTACTCTAAAAGAGATCATTAATTAATATGTCTCCTATCCACTCCTCTGTAATGAAAGAGACCATGAAATATGTCTGCTATACCGAAGGAAATCTTGACATATGTCTCCTTTACTGATACAAACATTAATGTGAAACAGAAAATGATTCTGCTATTTTTTTCCTAAAATGATGACATAATTTTTTTTATTATAAGGATTGCAAAGTATGATAAGAAAAGAATTTAAATTTAGAAGAAAGGCAGACAATCTTTACTTATTAGTCTGGTTGCAAATACTACCTTAATTAATAAACTGAAGCTTTGATAAAATTCACCTGGATATTTATGAAGATTTATTGATTTAATAAAAATGTTAAATTCTTCTGATCTACAGATGTGAATCTTTGATGCCTCTGTGTGGTAATTTTTTCAAAAGTAGGTCAAGATCAAAATACCTAAAACACAGTTTACATCCACTTGTGATGTCACTCTTTCAAAGATAACTTGAGATTTAAAAATTTCTCACCACTTCTACAGAACTCATCAGAACAGCAAAGTTGGTCATGTGATTACAATGACAGGTGACCCGGGTAGCGTTTCTGAAAAACGGTGTAGCAGCCTCGGTCTGACCACGCACTGAAAGGAAAGGGTACCATTAGTTTACAAGTAGTGTACCAGTAGAAATTACAACTTCATTTACTCTTAATATTTTTTCTATATTTTACTTTTTTCCCTGCAAAACCTGTCTAGGTAAAGTTTTAGATGAATCATCCTAATATTAATTTACCCGTTACTTATCAAAATACACTAATATCAAATTGAAATCATCTTTGCAACGTACCGAGGAATTTTCAGTTCACTACATATAGTGAAGCAGACCATAACCCTTGACTTAAAAAGATGCAGTAAAATTTGAGTTGAAATTTGAAGTAAATCTTCAACTCACCTTTGATTAAAATCCCAGTAACTGCATATTGCATTTTCATCTCCAATATCCTACAATTACAGTTATAAAAGTGTTAATTCATCTTGTACCAAGCACCATTTGCATCCTCTGATTACTGTAGATTGGCAAATAATCATGATGGTTTTAATTTCACTATATTCACGATTTATCAGTTTTCTGCAAAATTAAAACCATCATGAATGCTAACATTAGTTTTATAAAACATTTTTCAAACTGCTTATACAAACTTTGAAGTAATTTCTTGCAGCAGGAAATTAAAACGATCGCTATTGGTACTTTTTAATAAATCATGAAATTTTAACACCGTGGAATTAAAACAACTTAAAAAATTCAGGTGACAATAATATACTGCTACAGTAAAACTCATTTAGGATGAACACAGATATTGCATATGCAATTCATGGATATAGCAAAGTTATCTTGGATCCCCAGCTATATAAATTTAATGAATTCCTTATTCGGATATAACAAATTATGATATAATGAAGTAATTTCATAGGTCCAAGTGACACTTTATCATTTGGATCCTCCTCCTCCTATTTGTAAATCTTTTTGCTCCTCCGGGGGCCCAAATTGGATTAATAAAATCTTGTATCTTGTATCTTGTACATCAGTATAAATATATATATGTATAATAAATTCTGATATTTTATTGAAAAATTCACTAAAATCATATGGTCTATGCATTAAAAACTTTGATTAGTGATACGTATGTATATAATTTCTTCTGATAAAAACATGATTAATGAAATGATGTGCACCTGTTGTAGTACAAACTCAAGTTTCAGAGGTGGATCTAGCTTTTCTGTTTCTCCACTGGCAAGGGAAAATGCAATGATGTCTGTATTTATCAAGTTGCTGAAAATAAGAAAAAAATAAATGCTTTTAAAAGACTTTTTGATTACATTTCTTTAACTTTCTACCCTTGCTAGTTCAGTAAAAGTGGTTTTTTTTATTTATCAAACAAAGAATAAAAAAGAAGAAACAAAAACACATACATGTACAAGTATGTCTTTTAATTCTTCAAGAGAATGATTATTTATTAATCTTCATTGAATATTTGTCAAATGTAGTTATTTGACTATGTATTTTCTTTTAGATGTTTAACATGAATAATGATGCAACAAGTGTAAAAACACAACAATTAATCAATAATTATTTATTTCTAATTATAAATAAAGTTTACTGTTGTCTATGTTGAATTCAATTATGTGCATGTACAACAAGAATTCCTTCAAATCTGGTTAACCTAAAGAGGTGATGGTATGATGACATCAAGGTTTGCATCTTTCTGCTATATCATTTGTAATTACATGTATTCATGAACAAGCTATTCCAATCTGTTTGGTGTAGGTTTTTCTGATTTTGGTAAGTTTTCATCACATGTACAAAACATGCTGAGGATTATGTAATACCTTACTTACAAATAATTTCACATTTTATGATTTGATGTAATCTTTTCTTATTTCATTGTAGACATCATCTGAGGTAATATGCTAGGTAGTAGTAATTATATTCTATGGCATTCATAATTAAAATAACATCGTGGGTACATCATATATTATTATCACCATGGTAACCTTAGTTACCATAAGAAGTTATACATGTCAGCTAGTACATGCAAAACTGAATAATTGGAAAAAAAACCTTGAAGGAATATCCATTAAAATAAAACAAAACTAGAAATATGTTCAGTAAGGACATGAATCCCCTGAAGATGAAAATTTGTATTAGGCTAGGCCTAAAACAAAAATTATATAAGCTTGGCCCTATGTATTTTGATTAGAATACCTTTAATATTATTTTTTTTTATTGAAATCTTAAACAGTGGATAAAGATGATTAATTCTCATCAATTATGTATAAATGCATACAAGAAAAGATCTTATATGGTTTCTTGAAGAAAAGTGAGGTAAAGGTCATAGGAAAGTTCAAGGACAAAACTTTTTTATGCCATTGTCAGAATAGCTCTCACTTAAAAGTACCCGGTACAAGCATATGTAATAAAAATATCTTGAATGGTTTCTTAAAAAATGAGCTAAACACAAATTATTAAAAAAAAAGGTAAGGTCAAGGTTAAAGGAAATGTCAAGATCAAAAAAATGTTCATGCAGTTGAATGGCTTATTTCAGTATGTAAAAGCACATGACGTTTGATAACACATAATGACATTTCTTAAATGATTTCTTTAAGGTCAAGATCTAGTAAATGAAAGATGCCTACAGATTTATCAAATTTGAGAAATAAATTCTTTTAATGATGCTTTTTAACTTTAGCTAGGTCAAATAAGGTACTGTTTTGGGACATAATTTGTAAGTAAACAAAGTGAAAAATCATATTTTGAACTGTCATTTTCAATGAAAAATTAGGAAAAGCAGTGGTGAATATGGGATTTTTTTCCATATCTGACAAAGAAAATATATGCAGATTGCCTACAGTCCCGTACGAAATTCAGAGACGTATTACGCCTGGATTTTTTGCAAATCCTGGCGTACAAGAGACGTATTCTTAAAAATACGGTTCATTTTCAGGCGTACACGTATTTTTGCCAGAAATACGTCTCCTTTTTTCCAGGCGTAAATTCTAAATCCGGGCGTATTTTCTACTTAGTCTCTTTGGCACATGGAAATTAAAACTTAGAAAATTTCAAAAGGCGTATTTTTTAAAATTCGGGTGGATTTTTCAACTTAGCCAAAAAAACTTAGTCAACTCATTCTCTTTTTTTTAAAGTATTGAGTTGCATAAGAAACATTTTTATTATATTATATAACTTAAACCAAAAAAAAAAACCAAAGTATTGCATGATTGTATACATTTAAAAATATTGCATTTAGTTTGTTGCATTAAATATCAAAGCAATTATTTTTCATATATTAAACTGATTTTTTCTTTTAGAACTTTTTTTTTAGAACATTATCCCATGGACCTAAAATTTTGTCATTCCCATTTTTTTTAAAAATTGATATTATTTTTCTTAACACAAATGATTTCTATAACTGTAAAGTAGATAGTATATTCTTTGAACTTCATGATTAATTGTTTAGTCAGGCTATAAACATACATGTTATTACCATTAAATGTTTTTCTTATAAAATGATTTATATTTGGTACTCTTTTAAGATACTCTGTTACATTACCATCAACTTTCACTTCCCTAGCCTAACCTGCTGGGATTGTGCTAATTACTTACAGATGTGTTGAGCATGTTTAGGAACGACTTATCTGTGATGTTGTAAACCTAAGAACGGCTTATCCGGTTTGTGTACAGCAGTTCTATTTCCCACCCCAGTATCTTTTTAATTCATATAATGAATACACCTTGTTTATACATTGATGAAATTTTATTTTTATGTTCTAGCTGTAAACAAAACAGCATTTTTCTTCAAAATTACAAATTGTACTGAGTAGAACTTCCAGAAGTCATAAAAGAGTTTAGCTAACTAGGGGGTTGTAAATAACAGCATCTGCATCCAAGTATTTGCGCCAATTTTAAACCACCAGGCAGGTCATGCCAAGAACAATGAGATTAGAGAAAGCCACAACAAAGCACAGATGGTGTAGAAGAGGTAAATATTTTGAAAACATAGCTTAACATTGAAACTTTTTTATCTATGAAAATAAAAAGACAGCTGCATTTGCTTTTGATTTGCAGAGCCAGATGTTAATGATTGAAAATTGGGTCAGTAGTATTTTGAATTACATAAATTATTCTTTTTCCAGAAAATGATTTACATCTAAATCCTTATCACAGTTGGAAAATTGATTGAATGATGAAATGGTCATAAGAGGAGGAGAAAAGATCTTGCAGTATTAAGAGTTGACCAGCAGCATAGCTTTCCATAAATGCAATAATGCCAGTGAACTGTAGCCATTGGAAGATTGCATCAGGAAGAAGATGACCGTTTGCAATGCCAGTTATAAAGCATTCAAACTTCTTTTTGTGAATATTTCAATCTATGAAAAAAATGTGATTGGTAAATGTGATGTGAAACGTGAATGACAGAATTGCTCGTGATTTGCATCTTTTATGCCAATTTAGGAGTAAAAAGAATGGCAGGAGTACTCGGCATGATTCTCAAAACTGTGATTCACTGTGATTATTGGAATGTTTCAACTGTTTACTGCAAAACTCAGCCTTGGATGTTAAAATGCTGTGAAACGGTTAATATATTCTAACATGTAACTGTGCTTTGAAAAAGTAAATGTAAGATTATGATTTTAAATTTTAATGACAATCCTTTAATTACTAATGAATCTCATTTACATTTTATCACACTGAAAAATATTAAGAAAATAAAAGTGATGTATGCTTAGCTTAATTTGTCTAATCTTTTTTAGCATATGTCTAGTCAAAAATCTTTGTACTAAAGTTGATTGTACATTTATATTCATGCTATAATTGTAGCTCCCATTGCTGTAATATAATTAATATTTAATTCAAATCTATTTAAAGCAGGCGTATTTTTTTGTACGGGCGTATTCTTTTATACGGGCGTATTTATTTTGCAGGCGTATTTTTAAGGGTATGCTTGAAATCTAGGCGTACTTCTATTTTTAAAATTTCTAGACGTATTTTGAATTTCCAGGCGTACTCATTTGCATATTTCGGCCAAAAATACGGGAGGATTACGCCTCGTGTACGCCTGTATTTTACATTATACGCCTGGTTTTATATATTCATTTCAATAGAGATTTCCACAAGGATTTTTAGATTAAAATACGCCTGGATTTTTTTAAAAATACGTGACTTAAATTTCGTACGGGGTCTTTCAGAAAATGGTAATTTGTATGTCCAGGACCTCAGAAATAATGTCAAATTTAAAAAAGATATCGGGACTACTTTTCATGTAATTTCAAATTGAATTCCATGAAAATACTTTATTTTCTACATAATTCTATTAGAGCCGTAAAGTAGTAGAAAGTGATTATGATGTCATAATGGATCTAGCACCAAGAAGTCATCTAAAGACATTTACTAGATCTTGACCTTAAAAATGAGCTAAATACTATAATTTCAGATTTTTTAAAAAAAAAGGTGTAAGTCAAAGGAAAGATAAAAAATGTTGCAGTTGAATAGTCTCATCAATATGTATATATCAGCCTATTACGGTAAGTTTGATAAAAATACCTTGAATGGTTTGTTTAAAACTGAGCTTTGAACTGAGCTAAACACAAAGTACGATGGAAGGACAGATGGACTAAAGATGGACACTGTGCCCCAGCCATATTTATGGCAGGGCATAAAAAATACCTTTCATTTTCCCTTATAATTCTTTTTTCACATCTTTTTGTCACTGTGTCTCCTTAAAATTTTGGCATTTACCAAAAACACTGCAGACAATTAAGGAAGGGAAAATTAAGCAGAGCATGTGCTTTTAGGAAAATTTTGGTTTAAAGTTTTACTTAATTTCCTTTTTAAAGTAAGTATAGTACCATTCCACAATACTAACAGTACACTGACAATTGCTGTATTATAATTTTTATATCTACAAATAATGACTGATCCCTGAAATCTTTATACAAGAACTGATCCATAAAGTCCTCTGTTGACAAAATGAGGATTGGTGTATTATAAGTCCCCGAAGGAAAACTTGGTAAAGCCTGACATATCCCCCATATAAAAATGATGATAAAACACTTCAACATTGACAGTCGCCCCAGTAAAATCTGCAGTATCACTCATAATGTTCCTTTTCAAGTATCAATAATTGATACTCCACATTTAGGCAATAAATTTGTTATTAGCAGTTTGAATTCTAATGACAATTTCTCTAAGTTCATTAGATTAAAGAGGAAAAAAGTGGAATATCACTTAGCGAGCATGTTCTTATTAAGCAGTGGTATGGCCCTGAACAATGCAGACTGATAAAAGGCTGTGTAGGGGCTAATGATCTGTGAAATGGGCAGACAACCAATCAATCACACAGACAGTTTTAGTTCACACCAACTTTTTCCTGCCCCCTGTAGTTGTCTGTGTTTATCATATGTAAATTATTTGCTGCTATTGACTCTTAGGATTGGAATCCTTTCTTGCATAGTACATTCACAATAGAAACTAATGTGGGTTAAATCAGAATGAAGAGAAAAGTAATGTATGTGTACCTTGTGGTCAATTTTGACAGACTTTATGTTAGAGACAAAGAAGAAGTTAGCATCTGTGGAGACTGATGAAAATCCACTTTAATTCAGAATTCTGCATGAGTACCAAGTCTATCATACATACCTGTTTGTGAGGCCTTTTTTGGGGAACAGATCTGATAATGTTTTGTAATATGTTGCTGCATAGTCCACTGTGTCATTTTCTGCAAAAAATAGATATAGGATAAATAAATATACCTGGTACATTGCATATTTTAAAAAAAAAACAGATGTGTTTGTGAAACACTGATGCCCACCCTGCACATATGGCAGCTCATGGCAGAAGTTAAATTTTATTTTAATGCAGCTTTAACTCTAACTTCGTCAAGAGATCAAAAATGTCAGTACCCAAAGAAATATTTGTCTCAAAGAATACACACAGTAAAATTTGAAAGCCATAGAGGTGGCCATTCAAAAATTATGCTTAAGATTCAAATTTTAAAAAGTTATTAAAACTTCAATGTCAAAATCCATGTCAAATTATTATATAGTCTATTTATAGTCCCTATATAATCTATAGAAACGCAAACAGTTCATAACACTACATATTCACCGGATTTTAGGCCGTATTCACCGGAGGGTCAATGCGCGTGCAACAGCATTGTGACGTCACAATCAAAACGTCAAACAACGTTGTAAACAATATGGTTGCAACGGCCGCAGCGAGCTACGTATCTGAGCAGGAAACCCTATTTCAGGATTATTTTTTTAACATTTGGACGTCTTACACATAGCGAAACTCGGAAAGGAAAACACAGAGGTTACAAACAGTAATATGGAGACTTATTTTTATTTTTAACAATGGAAGATCGGAAATGAAAATGGTGTTGTCATACAGCCTTCAATGTCTTATTTATTCAAATCCCGACTATATAATAAAACAATATGAATATTTTTCTGGTGAATAACAAACCATATTCAACACCAAAAGAGTCCATAATTGTATAATATTAGTTTTATGGGGAAGGTCTTGTCTGACTTGAAATGATTTGTAAGATATGAAAATTTAAGCACCAAGTATTCACAAGTTATGGCCATAGTTAAAATTTTTAAAAAGTAGTTCAAGCTCTAAGGTCCGAGTCAAAAATTAATATGTTTTTACCAAAGGGAAGATCCTGTCACAGGGTGTACACAAATAAGTATGAAAGCCTTACCGCTAACTGTTCAAAAGTTATGACCTATGTTGAACTTTGGTAAAATTATGCAAAAATAGTTCAAACTCCAAGGTCAAACTGAAAGGATCAAATATGTTGATTATGCTACTGTGTGAATATACCCAATCATGGCTTTGCTACTTTAATAGGAAATTCAAACATTTTTTTTTTAAA